GCAAAGAGAAAAAAAAAAAAAAAAAAAAAGCAAAGAAAACCGAAATTAACGAGCTGTCGATCAGTCGGCTGAAGGCAACGGATCGCTGGGGCTAGGGACTGCCAGTTGTCCAAACGGCAAACTTCCACCAGTGTCATTCCGAATTGCTGGGTTCGTTCGGCCGGAAGGATGCTTGGTGGCGTATCAGTGGGACAATTATCCATTCCCTTGGGTCTGTGGTTTGTTTATCTTTTCCTATAAGTATTATGGTTTCGTCATCTCGATGTCTCGGCCGTTGTTGGAGAAAGAACAGTGAACATTCATAATTTATGATATAAAAGCATCCTCGCGTACATTATTAACCTTGAAATTGCGAGTCAACATTCCATAGAAATACGTCTATAGCCAAGATATCACAGGTAGAATACCATGCATGAAACTCGGTATTTAATACAAATCCCAAGTATGAAAGTAAATACCAGAGTCAAAACCCACTAAGAGCAAACCCCTAATACAACTTCTGTTGTCGCCAAAATCCTTTAAGCCCTCCCAGAAGGGCTTCCTGTAGACCCGAGACCATGGCTGTGGTCGGTCTAGACTCCGCCTCTGTCATTACCACTTCAGGGGTCTCTCCTGCAGAAAATCTAGCTTCCGGAAATTGACCGGTGAAGTACTGCGGTTGGACTGCATAATTTGGCTGGGGGAGGCCCAGGTAACGCTTTTGCTCGGTGGAATCATATGAACCATGCGAGAAAATTCCTGTCTCTGATGCAATCCCAGGGAGCCAGTATGACGCTAAGTCATATGGCAAGCCATGGTAATCATCTGGTACCTGAAATATATTTCCGTTGCCGCCTACGCCAGAGGAAGCGTCCCTCATTGGTGTATCTACCATTCGGTGCTTAGGAAGTTTGTACAAGGGGTCCTCCTCTGGCTGCATAATCACATCGTATGCAGCACTTAAAGTCTGTGCAATCAAGGCACAATCCCCTCCCGGTAGGGGTGCCGCCCTATTTGCAAATTGTGCTGGCGACTTGTCATAATCCCAAATCATTGCAGATGTCGTAGATGTTTTTGCTTCTTTCAATCCGCAGGAGCCGTGGGACTGCATCACAGACCTCGGGTTTTGAATATGTAGCGAAGAGCTAATGAAGCTCGACGTACCGTAAAGTGTGAAGTCGCTTGTAGGTGGCTCAATGATGTCTGCCTGGTCGAAGGCTTGTGGCGACGCCGGTGCAGGCTGCCCATGTAACATGTGCATTGACACGCCATCAGTATCTCCACTACTCCTAAGAAGTGCAGGTGGCTCAGATGCCGGGTCATGATGATTAGTGGCAGGAATGCTAATGACCCCATAACATTCTGCTTTGTTTTCGCTATTATGCTTATTGACCCTCTTCGGGGTCTGTGCAGGTTCCCCCTCTCCGATAGACTGGGATCGCTTGCGTTTTCGACGTCTCCAGTGGGTGCTTTCATTTGTCCATACAACAGGGCTATAGGCATCTGAATCCCAAAGCAGTTTTCGCTGATCCAAGAGACATTTCAGCTCCTCCAGACTCCAATATTTCCTTGTGGATTTGACTGTTGCTATCGCTTCATTATTATCTTGGACGTCCCAGTCGATACTGAGAAGCTGTCTCGTGCACCACTCGCATGGGTCATCCATTGTAGAATATCCACGTACACTCTCAGACCATGTATATGCTGTGGCGGTCCGAGATATACCTTCGTTTCCTTCGTTTTGGTGTTGACTGCTTGCGTATGTGTAAACCTGAAGCATATTGTTCCTCTGACCATGTCCATATACTGATGTTTCATGAGGAAATACATCGCTCGCCTGACGACCTGCTCGTTCATCGGCAGTATTCAATAATGTCAAACTACCTCTTCGATTCTTATTCGGTGAATTCCGACATACAATTCCATTTCCTTCCTTACCTCGATAAATACATGCTGTCTCACGGTCTTTTCGTGCTCTATATGATAGGAACTTCATTTCCGAAAAGCTGAGGTCAGCCCCTGATCAATCCGTCAGTTTCGGACCCAAACTCAGAAAGATAGGGAGCTTACCCTGAACCTTAACCGGTGAAGATGTTCTGCCCATATGGAACAGACCTAGGTTCATGTTAGATTGAAGCTATGGATATGGTTAGCATGGTCTCATCGAGTTGGCTCGTCTTTCTTAACTCACGGTCAATCGACCCCGAGCCACATTAGAGGCGTGGAAATTATCATTCATGGTATGCTTTCTATTCCTCTTTGCGGACCTTCTTCTCTTAGTCTTTGTCACCCTACCATCTTTCTCATGAGACATCTTGCCCTTGTACTCATAATGGTCGTCTTTGGTCTTGTGGCGTGGTCGGCGTTCATATCCGAATCGTCCTTTCTTTCCCCTACTGGCGGCTTTCTGAAAAGACAGGAGACACGGTACAGAGCCTACTGACTCAAGGCAGTGCTCTTTCTTATACGTCTCCAGTGCTGTTCCTTGGGCGTGTGGCACATGTGCGACTTTCTGGGGTGGGAGGCCAAGGTGTGGTAAGTTAGTCCCGCCCTCTTTCACTGATGTTGATCTCCTTAGTTGGTCTTCGATGCCCGGTAGTTTACCATAAAGGTCTTGAACTTTGGGGAAATTACGGCTTGGGTACGACCATTCAGGGATTTCAGATGGCACAGGCTCGTCTTCGATCATTCTCAACCACTCCAAAATAAGGGACTGTGATCTTGAACCCATCGAAATTGCCGGTGCGAGATGTGCTTAATGTGTCTTTGGCAGGTAGAATGGGGGGATCTAGAGACTGATAAGTCGAAACGTGAAGTAGATAGCAAACAGAAAGACCTGGAGACATGTTAGGATGTCTGGCTGACAGGTATGGCTGCCATTGTGACATCATCCAACTGAGTATCTGAAGAAACCTGACAGAACTGTAAACGTACTGAGGCAGCCACGATTACCAAATACAGAACCACCCCCGTGACATGCGTTTGCAACTGAATGACCTAACATAAGTAGTAGTATTACATCCACCTATTATTTCACCACTACTTTAGAACAATCACCTCAATATCCATCTCCCTTGATCATATTGAAACCGACCCATGAAAGCTGCTCTCTTAATACAAATCCTTAAAACACCTCTCCGTCTGTCATTTCCATCATGGAAAATCGCGTGTTGAACTTTGTTTCCTCTGATGCGGTCATAGTTATCCATGAATCAGAGACGATTATATCTGCAACGTACACACACCTCAATTTTGCAGCGCTGGCATCGTAGGATGAAATCAGGCAGCTGGTCGTGGCATACATCGCACGAATATTCCCCATCACGCCTCCTCCAGCGATCATGCTTACAGTTGTGCTGCTCACGAAGTTCCTGTGCTGCCATCTGAACCTCTTGCTGTGCAGGCTGAGGGTTGTCTTCGTTCCGAGCGGCAACATGGTGTGCTCTGTCAAGTAGTCTGCTTTCGTCCCATACTTCGCATCCACATGACTTCCACTTCATGACACAGGTGTAGCAAAATTCGAACCCACAACGGCATCTGAAGCAGAAAATCAAGTATCATCAGACAGATATCTACAGCAAAGACAAGAAAACCCAATTGCTTATGCACTTACGTGATGTGATTGCAGCCACTTTTTAGCTCCACAATGTTACGACATCTCGTGCAGCGCTGCCATCCTTCTATTTTTGCCATTTCCAGAATCTCCACTTCGCTCTCGACAAATACGCCCGCATGAGCTCGCTGCTTACATGTAGAGCATGTTGCTGTGTTGCAAGAAGCGCAGGTCCTGATAGTAAGTGCCACGCGGCAGGGCGGAGGTATCGCGAACACAAAGGATTCGCACAGTAAGTTCTGTTGAAGTCATTGTGCTCCACTGTCTTCTCCTCGAATTTTCGAATCATCTCCTCGTCCAGAAGTGACTTCATTGTAGTTAAAGAGAATGGCACACGACAGCACTTAGGTGGAAAAAGTGACTCGTCAACAAAAGAGTCGTGCACCAGGCGGCCGATACAGCTCCTGCAGTAGTAATGGGAACAGGATGCCTTGAATATGTCAAAATCTGGCTTGGCTTCCATACATGCTACACATTTGAGGTGTGTCTGACAGTCAAGGTTACGGGCAGCGGCAACTTTCGAGCTTTGAGCCCCTGGGGACTCGGTCTTGATGAAACCTGAACTTCGAACTTCAACTGTATCTGTAGGTCCCGATTGCTCCAACACCGTATTGGAATCTCCCCCCCCAGATCAGTTAGACCAGCCATCGCAGCATGCTTCTGCCCCAATAGCTGATCAGGGGTTGATTGGTTGAGGCCGACCAGTTGTAGTGCGGTCATTCGATCCCGGAAGGCTCTGTTTTCTTCTTCAGTTGCAGCTGCGAGAGCAACACCATCATGGAAAACAGCCCTCGCTAGGCTCTTCGCCATTTTGTAGTCTTCAAATGTGCACGCACAATGACGGAGCTCTTGAGCCCATTCAGTGAGCGCTAATTCATGGTCAGTCATTTGACCAGACCTCTCCTTACCCTTCATGAGTCCAAGGGCGCCTCTCGCATCGTCTTGCATCAGACGTAGCACTAGTTCATTAGTCGGCTCATCCATGACGAAATAGAATAATTTAGATGTTATGAAAGCTCGCAATGGTGAGAAGATGTTGGTGTAAAATAGGAGGGAATGTGAGAATTGAGGTATTTTGAAATGTCTGACAAAGGGAAGTAGGAAAGGTCGCAGTCAATTCAAGTTGATATCCTGATACACATGACTGGTTATTCACCTCTCAACTACAGACAGGCCATGATATCCAGTACAACTATAGATACTGTAGTAAGACCAGTTATACAATCCGGCCATATCCCATTATTCAGTGAGTCTGATACTAAACGATAGTATGCACATAGAAGAATTTCAGTGTACAAGCTATGTATAAAAAAGAGTTGTATAACAGAAGGATAACCAGGGTCAAGTTGATTGGAATTAGTATGTTGCATGGAGGTCCTGAACCGGTACGATAACTGTTCGGAATACCTAGTAGTAGTAGTAGTAGTAGTACATCAGGCGGTAAATGTATATAGATACAGTGTACGTGCTTTCCTCCGAAATGAAGCTAGATACTTACACCTACACTTATACCCACTACTTGGTTCTAATATTAAGACTTGGGGCTTGTCTTTATTCAGAATCCAGGACAAGAAAATAAAAAAAAAAAAAGAATTGAATTGACAATGAGGGGAACCGGAGGTGTTCCGCAACGCTTGGGTTAGCGTCTCAAAATCAGTCCAATCCAAAGCAATGCAAACGGACCCCCCCCTCCGTGGTGCAGTATTTGGGTATTGTTACCGTTCAGGCTGGTTGTTTGTGTTGCAAGTGGGAGATGAAAGGGTGTACGAGTCGTGTACATACATACTATTTTATTTCCCTCTCCCTTCCTTCCCCCCGCTTTCAAGGTTATTATCGCTCAGTTAAGTCTTCGCTAAAGATTGGAAGGAGAGAGGGAAAAAAAAAAAAAAAAAAAAAGGTTGTGGCACAACGTGCAGTTGGATCCGATCTTCTTTGGCCAGAGATTCCCTTCTCTAACAACTTAACAGTGAAGGTGCATGATTCCAGACAGTTTTAGTCACTGCAGCGGTTCCACTTGAATAAATGTACGTGATAAGACTAATAATTCTGCAAATCGGCTCTTTAGGACCTTAGTAGCCTCCTTCACATTCAGTTCCCCACGGGCCCTCTTCTTCCATTGTCATCCTCCTCTTTCAGCCGAACCATTATTTTATCGCACAAATCTCGTCTCATCTTCATCCTTCTTAATCCTCTTTTCTCTACTAACTCCCCTCTTAGTCTCTGTTTAACTCTACAAGGACTTCAGAATGTCTAAACTATTTATTGGGTCTGTTTACCCATCTCCTTCCTCCCCTCACTCCTTCCATATCAGCTGTCATCCATTTCCCACTTCTACAGGGATCTTCTAATTGAATTTTCACTGACACTGACGAACAGCGGCCTGTCATGGCACACCACCGACGAGGGTCTCCGTGATGGTTTCTCTAAGTTCGGTCAGATCGAAGACGCTGTTAGTAATCCAGTTACCGTAAAGCCATTTCCTCTCTCTACCATGGTTGTATTAATAATGTCCAGGTCGTCGTTAAGGATCGTGACACTGGTCGCAGTCGCGGATTCGGATTCGTCCGCTTCGCCACGGAGGCTGAAGCTGATGCTGCGGTGGAAGAGATGAACAACCAGGAGTGAGCATTCATTTATTTACTGCGATCCCTTTCATCCCACAGTGCTGTCGCAACTGCTCCGCGTTGGATCGAAGATTTACAAATCTAGGTTTGACGGCCGTCAAATCCGCGTCGACAAAGCCTCTGAACGACCTCCTCGCAACGATGGCGGCTTCCAAGGTCGTGGCGGATACAACCAGCGTGGAGGATTCAATGGGGGCAGTAAGCAATCCATTTTGCTTGTCCTTGACGTCCAAGGGCATCGCAGTCCTCTTTATTGGTGTTCCCATGGAGCTAACGATATACAGACTGGCGGTGATTGAAACGCTGATAACCAGCCTACGAATGCTACCTCTAACTAAAGCGTGGATCGAAGTATGGTGCAGTTGGGCTGGTCCTTTTCGTGCTTTGTTCAAACGGATTTCATCGCTCTGATAAGCTTCTATCTCGATAAAACTTCATGAGACACGATCACAGAAGAGGAATTGAAACGCAGTATGACGGCGGAAGCATGGTTTTGATGAATCACGGGTGCTTTATCTCTGTTTTTAAGATCATACCTCCATTGCTCATTTAATATTGAATCTCCATGACTGAGGGAACAATTTCAATCTATAACCGGAAACTATACAGCGATAGTCTACGCTGGTAAAAGAAGAGAGGAAAACTCTATAAGCTTGAAACCATGTAGTCTATGTAAGCCCTGCACTTGACCGCCGATCACGAATCATAAACGTCAATGCAAAGTCACACTCTTTCCTCGTTTTGGAAAGCTCGATGTGCTTCCTCCTCCGACCGACTAAGCGACTTCTGTAAATCCCTCTCAGCCGCTTCTTCATCTCTCGCCGCTTCGTCTTCCTTCTCAATAGCCTTCACCCGTCGAACCAAATCCGTGACATGACCATCGGCACTTCCAAGCCCGAGACCCTCAAGTGCCTTCTCTAGCAGATAAAGGTACTCGGTATTCTTCCCACTCTGACCCCGTCCGCGACTAATCACTTCCGCAACATCCTGCGGCTCACGACGGGCTGGGTCACGCAAGAACTGTGGATTGGTGGGTTGCCCGATATACACCATGCAGGTTAGCGGTTTAGAATCTGACCCCGAGGCCTTTGATCCTGAGAACGGATAGAATGGAGTGTAATGCACGGTGTATCCGTCAATCTCGCGTTCGTCGAGGTAATCATGGACTTCTTCGGCGTGCGAGGCGGGAATGTGGTATGCTGCGCCCCAAACTCGAGCTGCTGACGACGATGATTCAAGGTGTGCGAGCTGCACGGTGGTAATATGAGACGACAGGTCTAGTTACTAACAGGAAATGGCCACATACCGGGTCATTCAATGTCTCCCAAAATCCTCGTTCTATGACCGTTACTACTCGTCCGGGATTTTCCGGCGTTCCTCGATGGTCGGTACTGAATAAGTCAGTTTTGTAGCTCGGAGATTGGCAACCGAATGCCCGTTCCAAGAGTCTATAGCACACCTAGCCTATACAATGCAAGCATGAAGTTAGCTATGCTTGGTAAGGGAAAAGGAAAAACGGAGAAAATGAGGAATATGCCAGAATTTCAAGCTTCACGACAAAGACTTCCATAGTTCAAGGGGTGACGAACCTGCCAAAAGCGACGCACATAGCCGTTGACATAACCCGGGACTCTTTGATCTATACGAGGTCGCATATCAGCTGAAGTCTGGAAGACCGGCAAGAGTGCTGTGCCATTTGCCCTTGGCCAAGACCTCTGAACCCTTAGTCCAAAGCCAGAGCGACGTACCATAATGCGGTGGTGGCTTCCAGATCAAGCTCCTTGGCAACATCAGCGTTTGTCCATTAATAATTCTCGTAGAGCACCGACGATCCTCTTCTTCCCAGGACCAACATGACTCACCCATATCCAAATACCCATAGATCACCGTCTGGGAAGTAACTGCGCCATGTTCGGCCATCTGGAGAAGCATGACCGTTTTCATTACTAGAAGCCATGCCAGACCCGTCTAATAGAGTCGGATATTAACCGTCTGCTCTATGATTACAAGGTCTGTTTCTCTCTATAATGTATATAGATTTTGAGATGGAAACCAAAGGGTGTAAAATAGAAACAGCTCCAGAAACAAGGCCTTGTCAGCAGCGGAAATCCAGAATAGATAGATGGCCTCTAGCTTCCTTCAACGCTATCATTAAAATTGTAGGGAAACGGCTATCCTTAGAGGTATATGTTCATTACTGAGCATTGCAAAGAATGTGCTGTAGCCGTCTCTTAGGTCAGCAGACCCACCCGCCATTCGGCGTGTTGGTCTGCCTCACCTCAACGCAAATTCCCACTTCAACGCAAAATTTGAAGCTATTCAAGCTCCTATACAACATCGCCTTGAGTATCTATCCAATAAGGTAGTTTAGGGCCTTCCTTATCCACCTGGCTAGCTTCTGTACTAGGCAGGTCCCCTGTATCTGCCTGTTGTGGTGGTTTATTGTGTCCCAAAGTCCCCGTTTTCCCAATCTGCCTAAGGCCCTGCAATCTTTCCATCTCAGTACGATCTGCAATATGGCGTTTTGCATCATATACAGTTAGTGGCCCGTTATATCTGACTCTTCTCTTTGATTTCCGTCTATTT